GGTGATGCCGATATTATTCTGAGTCACACCGATATTACTCCGAGTCAAGCCGATTCCACCGAGTTGTAGCCGAGTCACGGCCAATTCAAGTGAGACTCGTGATTTTTGCGTAACGTGTACCGTTATCGTATCGGAGACTCGGCCGATACCTTGAGCCATGGGAAAGAGTGTCCTTGCTGTCACTTGTGCAACGCAGATACGGCTCCATCTTAGAATAGTCCGTTCTTTTTGGGTATTCATTTTCTCTATTCAGACTTGAACTTTCTAGGCAAAAGAAACTTTAAATGTAATAGAGGCAGAGCTTGATGAACTGTGTGATGTGACTATTGTTTTGGCCCAAGCCTTCTCCTGCATAAATTTTTCTTGTGAACACGATAATTTTTCACAATGGGATGAGTTAATGTGTACATAAGAAAATTCATTTCCTTCCGGTCACCATTCACTCTCTGAGAACCACTTTTTACAACTTTATGTAAGAAGCAATTAGTTTGATGGCATGTGAGCCTCACCATCCTGCATGTTTTGTCTCTTATTATTTCCTCAAAGGTGATAGTTGTAAATTGACTTTTATCCAGGTGAGGAGGACAAAAATGTTGAATTAAAACTGCAGAAGGTTAGGGCTACATCAGCAGAAATTGGTCATTTACATTGTGGCTAATGCCTGCACAATTAGGGATTATTACACAAACAATGTCGTTGGGGTATGCTTTGTGGGTCAAGATGTCACCTCTGAGAAATTTTTCCTGGATAAATTCATCCGTCTGCAAGGGGATTATAAGTCTATCACACAAACTCTTAATCCATTGATCCCACCCATATTTGCGTCTGATGAAAATGCCTGCTGTTTTGAATGGAATGCAGCCATGGAAAAGCTAACTGGTTGGTTGAGACATGAGAATGAGATAATTGGTAAATTGCCTCCTTGGGAAATTTTTGGAGGTTTCTGTCAGTTAAAAAGGCGAAGATACACTGACTAAACTGATGATTCTTTTGTACCGAGCAACTAGGGAGATGTTACCGAGAAGCACCATTTTGGGTTTTTGATAAGCAAGGGAAATTTGTGGAGGTGCTTTTAGCAGCAAATAAAAGGACTGATGAGCGAGGTAATATAATTGGGTGTTTTTGCTTCTTGAATGCTGTTGTACCTAACCTGCAAGAGTCTTTAGTACACGAGCAAGAGGACACAGAGTGCCTTTCAAAACCTAAGGAGTTGGCATACATTCGGCGAGAGATGAAAAACCCATTGAATGGTATTCGTTTCACCCACAAACTCCTGGAAAGGGCTTCAATTTCAGAGGATCAAAAGCAGTATCTTAAGACTAGTGATGCATGTGAAAAACAGATATGTCAGTCATCGAGGATATGGAGTTAAGACATATAGAAGAGGGGTAAGTTTTTCCCATTTCTGGGGCTTCTGTAACTAGCATAAATCGCTTTTTGTAACTCTTCACTGTGTTATTGAAGATTGTTACATTATATTCTTTCCTTCATTTGCTGAAAATGGTCAAATTCGGAATATTCAACTAGTTGAGTTAAATTTAAGCAAAAGCTTTTAGAATCAGAATTATTTTTGAAACATCTTTTCTTATTGCATTTTACCCCACAGGCTGGAAAGAAAGAAGAAGAAGAAGAAGAGGGCGGAGGGGGAGGGGAGGGGAGGGGGTGGGGGAGGAAGAAAAGGAAGAGCAATCTAAAGAAATAGAACACTTATCTATGAAACTGGGGCTATTCTCACTTAATATATTCCTGATTGGTCAAAGTATCTCCGGTGAGAATTGACGAACTCATGAATTAAATCAGACTATGCAGAACATGCTGTGGATAGGGGTGGGCTGCGACTCCGACGGAGTTGGAGGTCATGAATCCTAACCCCGACTTTTGTCCAACAACTCCGACTCTGAACATATAGTGACTCCACTCCGACCGTTAGAAAAGAGTTTTGGAGTTGGGCCAATTTTTATTGGGTTTTATAATTTTGAAATTTGGAAAAAATTATGAAACTAATGAAACAAAAAACGATATGAGGGATGTAAAGATGAAATCTGGAAGCAAAAAGATAAGAGGCATTCGATATGAAACAAAAAAACGAATAAATGACATCTGAAACAAAAAGATAAGAGTTGAGACTTAGAAGCATGGTTGGACAGACAAGCTTTAAGAAAGAAGGGAGGAAAACAAAAGAAACAAAGAAGAACAGGAAAGAAGAGGATTGTGTCGAGTACGATGGTGGCTCTGATAACATGAGATAATTGAGAAATTAGGGTTAGGAGAAAATAGAAAAGAAGAGGAGAGAGTTTGAGAGAAAGATATCCTTCTCATGTGAAGCAATGGATCATTGAGAACAACTTTAATATGTATGGTTCAATGAAGTGCTTATACTACAATTGAACATGGTTCAAAGCACAGGTGGAGAGCGATATGACTAGGCCGACGGTTTATCTAACTTGACACTTTCCATTGCAATATTGTTTCTCATTCTGTGTAAATCATGGGTTTCAGTTGAGCCGATAGCATCGATCAAGACTCCTCTGAGTTAACAGTGAGTCGTCCGAGACATCGTTACTATATTTTGCGATGCCGCTATATAACTAAATTTCTCATAGTGTTCAAACTTCTACCTAGCATTTCGTGTATATCACCTGATATTGCTTCGCATCATTATGCTCGATGTGTCTCGTTGCTATTGAGTTGATAGTCAATACCACAACCTTGAATTATGATATGAGTGGTTTGTTGTGAAAATGTACTTACCCCCTCAATTTTGTTTTGATATCAATTTGGTAGTAGCCCTGAGTGCTCTGATTTTCCTCGGGAGTGTAGGTGGTGCGCGCGCCATAAGGAAACAGGCTTGAACCTCTCATGTTACTAACTAGCTGTTATTCCCTTAGCTCGTTGGCGACATTGGCATAGGGTATCCTCGCACAAAGGGGCCCATGTTTTAGACAAATTGGCAGAAGTCTCATGCATGGTTGAGGAAAGCAGTCTATGCACATGGGCACGTGGGCACAAGTCAGCTTGCAAGCCAGGTGACTTGAATTGTGGGGCAATACTAGTTTGAAGGATTGAGCCGTGGGTTGGGCCATGGCTAGGCACGAATGCAATACAATCAGATGTTGAGGGCTCATGAGGAAGGCACATACACAACATGTGAGGACGTTGGGCATGTGCCCTGCAGATGGTGGCAGTTCTATGCAATTTCGGGTAGATGCACAACACATGAGAATTCTGTCAAATTCAGACAGCATGCAGAGAAGTTGCAGACAGTTCCTGACTATGTCAACCACCAGTTACAACTTCCTCTGCCAACCAATCATAGCAGACTTCCGGGCAGATTTGAATTTTATGCAATTGCCTAGGCGGTTGGGCTTGTAACCACCACCCTGAACATTATAAATAAAGATGTTTAAGTCTGCAATGCAACTAATAGAGTTTGGCACGTTTTGGTAATCAGACTCAAAGCTGAGTTTCTTTATACTTTGTTGAGAAAGAAAAGTATGGCTTGTAAAGCTTGTGTGCTCTGTGTGTGTGTTTGTTTACTATCATTTCTATGTTCTTATGTGCATTCTGTGTACATTCTAAATGTTTAGCTAAGACTAATGCTCCGTTTGGTATGAAAGAAAAATGAAAAGATGAAAAGTTTGAAGGATAGAAAGTTAGAAAGATGGATAAAATATCATATTTTGTAAAGAATGAAAGTACGAAGGATGAAAAAGTGAATGAATTAACTTTCCTTCCAACTCACCAAATCAATCCCTCCAAAATCGAACGAAAATTGGATGCAAAGTTAATTATTTGTGTTAAAATGTATCTTATTTGTCTATATCTCTTTTTATTTATACATATATTATGTATACGTTAATTTCATATAAAAAATATAATAATAAAATATGTATATATATATATAAATTTATAAAAAAATAAAATTTTAAATTTTAAATTAAAAAAATATTTTTTCCATTTTAATTAGGGGTGAAAATTTTTAACTAACACGATGATACGACTCGAACTCGACACGAATTTTATGACATGAACTTGATTAACTCGAACACGAACACGACACAAAAATAAACATGTCAACTCATAACTCGATACGACACAATTAGTTAAATGAGTTGAGTTAAGTGTGATTAATGTTCGACATAAACCCGTAATAACTCATCACGAATCTTACAGGATACGACTCGATTGTCACCTCTAATCTTAGCCAACAAAAAAAAAAAATTAGTTATTTTTATTTTTCATCCATCCAACTAAACACAAATGAAGGAAAGTGTATCATTCCTACTTTCTTTCCTTGAAGGATAGAAAGTGTATCTTTTTTATTTTCCATCCTTCCTACTTTTCATCTTTCCAACCAAACAGAACATAAGTGTAAGATCTTAGTACCATCATGAGGCATAAATTTGGTAAGAAATTTAACCCCACGACACTAGCCAACAACTGATGGCTAAATTCCTCGAAATCCTCTTCAAAAACTATTCATTTTGCTTGAAGATGCCCAAACAAGACGCTTTTTATGAACCATTAGTATGGAAGGCAGGTTTAAAGCCACCTAAAATTTATATTTTCTTTCAAGTATACAACCTGAAGTCTTGACCACAAATTTCTTCCAATTCAAACAACTATATATCAAGAAGACTATTATCTAGTTCGTTAGACACGTCTAATCATGCACCCTCAAGTGAAAAGACAACAAGATCCAATCCTGCAAGAAGCTCTGTCAAAACATATACAGTGTGATCAAAGAATTAAAATAAATTGGGTCAGTAAGATATAAACAAGCAAATGATTGACCGTGATTAGAAAAAAAAAAACAGAGAACATATGCATAGATCAAAAAAGTGATCCTCCCAAACACTAAGCGATATAAGATATATTCTACAGAAGTGGTCAAACCACTCTTTTGTGAGCTTATTCTTTGCAAAAAGTAAAACAGTTGAACAGAATTTGAAAAGAGCAAACACCAAGTAAAAACATATAACGACAAATGAGTTGAACAATCATGCAACGGCAACAATTAAAGGTTTATCAAATTCTTCAGATGAGATATAATCTAAGTTGTTTTGTTCCTCATCCGACTCCAAATGACCAATATCAGGGACATACCCAGAAAGCTTCATTAGTTTTGTTAGAGTTTTCAAGAGTTGATAGATTTCCTTCTTTTGAGGATGTCTTTTATCTTTCACCATGAATACGTGCATCTGGCTTTGAATTTCAATCCAACTGCAACCTGGCTGCTTAATAATGCCCCTCTGCCTCATAAGCTTCCGAACTCTAATAACGTCCTTCCATTTTCTAAGTTCTGCATACATGTTAGAGAGTAGGACATATGGACCAGAGTTTCCTGGATCAATCTCTAGGAGCTGCTCAGCAACAAACTTTCCTAACTCAATGTCACCATGAATTTTACAAGCAGCGAGTAAAGATCCCCATACAACTCCATCAGGCTGCATTGGCATTGATTTTATTAAATTTTTTGCTTCATCAAGGCAACCAGCACGGCCAAGCAAATCAACCATACATGTATAATGGTCCTTCAAGGGTTCCAAACCATGTTCCTTGCTCATTGATAAGAAAAAATGACGACCCTCCTCAACCAGCCCACCATGGCTACAAGCACAAAGAACGCCAATCATAGTGACATGGTCTGGTTTCTCTCCACATACCAACATTTCCCTAAACATTCCAAGAGCTTCAATCTCATGCCCATTTTGTGCATACCCAACTATCATGGCATTCCAAGAAACCCAATCTCTATCAATCATTTTTGCAAAGACCTGACTACCATCTTTAACTGATCCACATTTCATATACATGTCTATGAGAGAGTTCCCCACAAAAATATCAGGCTCCGGTCCATACTCGAACCGTAATCCATGTTTCAATACATGGGTGTGAGCTTGCCTGCCAATTTTGAGATCAGATAGATTTGCACAAGCATTGAGGAGATTTCCATAGGTATAATGTGTAGGCCATACAGCTTCCCTCTTTAGAAGGCGGAAGAGTCCTAATGCTGCTTCATTATCCCCATTCTGGGTATAGCCTGCAATAAGTGCATTCCAAGATACAACATTCCTCTCCATCATCTTTGTAAACATTAGTCTGGCTGTTTTTACACTCACTGATTTCGCATACCCACTTACCATGGAGGTTTCAGACACCACATTTCTTATTGGCATCCTATCAAAAATCCATCTTGCTTCATTTATTTTATTGCATTTTGCATACATATCAACCAATGCATTGCATAAAATAAGATCATCTTGAAATTCATCAAACTTCACAACTCGAGCATGGATTTGCTTACCTTCTGCGATTGCTGACAAGCTCGCACATGCACTCACAACACTGGCCAGTGTAACCTCATCTGGATCAAGTCCTGAATCCATCATCCTCGTGAAACTCTTAATAGCCTCACTTGCTGGCCCATTCTGTTCGTAACACGTAATCAAAGAGTTCCAAGATACAATGTTCCGCTCACTCATCCCATCAAAAATATTTTGAGCACAACCCACATTCCCACATTTTGCATACATATCAATAAGCGCAGACCCCATATAAACATCCAACAAAAACGGAGTTTTTGACACAACACCATGAATCTGTGTGCCTGTTTTCACATCCCTTAACCCTGCACAAGCGCTAAGAGCACTACCATATGAGTACTCATTAAAACCAAAGCCCTCCTTATGCATTCTAACAAAATATTCAAGCGATTCCTCAAACCGATTATGCTGAGCAAAACCTGAAATCATCGAATTCCATGAGCACTGATCAGGCTCAGGCATTGATCTGAGTACCCACTTAGCTTCATCAAGAAGACCCGATACTATAAATGCGCTAATCATTGAATTCCAAGTGAATGTGTTCTTCATAGTCATTTTATCGAACACTCTATGCGCATCATCCAAACATCCACATTTTCCATACACGTCAATGAGCCTATTCTGTATAAAGATCTCGGAGGAAAACTGGGTTTTGATAATACGGGCATGGATGCGACGTGTTTCGCGTGCTGACTTCGATTGGGCACAAAACTCCAAAAGTTTTGCAAATGGTGATGAATTGGAGAAAGAAAAATCACTGACGATTTGTCTAAATGATACATTGTTGGCCATTCCATAATCTTGGGAGGGAATGATGTAATTGTCATGTTTAGTTTAAAACGTTGAAAATCGAAGTGGGAAGACAGTGGTTAGTTTGGACAGCCATTGAAGAATTTTTCGAATTTCTGTTGGTGCCCACGCCCCAAATTCATGATTATTTTCGTATCCACATCTACGAAATGGCCAGAAAACTTCTATATTTTAATTAGAAGCTATAGAAAATATTATAATAACACTCCAATTGAAGAAACGAAAGCTATAAGGAGCAACCAAAAATTCCAATCGAAGAACTCTAAATCGAAGCCAAAAAAAATAAGAACCTCACCTAGAGATTTCGAAACAAGGCTGCTGACACACCGAGAGATTTCGAACCAAGACTACTGCTGCTCAAGGCTTTCTCCAAGGATTTGGAACTGAGGGAGATCGAAGCTTTCTCGCTGCCGGAGAGAGAGACGAGATGGGGGCTGTGGACTGGAGGCCGGGTAAAAATTTTGGGGGCGTTTGGATAGTGGATTAAAGGTGGTTATCCACTAGTTGGATGGGATAAAATAGGAGCCGGAATTCAAATAACCATTGTTTGGAAAGCCATTGTTGAGATTGGATACAAATTTCAGATCAAGCCTTAACCCGGTTACTACAAGTATCATTTAACTCCCACAGGCCAGTCTCACATAACCCTCCTCCCCCTTCATGGGTTACAAACCCAAGCAAGAGGATAACCCAACCACAAACGTATTTGTCCCTCTTTTCTTCTCCACACATTTGACTCTCTCTCTTCTCCTATCAACCAGAGCGCGAAGGAGCTGAGCTCGTCTAAAACCTGTTGCACAAAGGTGAGGAAGAAGACGACAATTTAAGATCCTCCAACTTTTTGCCTCGTATGATTGACGACATCGCTGGATGGGTTTGGGTGAATGAAGAAAAGATCTTCACAACGATGGTGGATGATTTTGAAATCCTAACCTCTGTTATGAAAATAACTCTTCTCCCAATCTGTCATATCTAATGTAATTCTCCTCTCTGTCTTTTCAAATTTGAGTCATTTTTTGTGGTGGTGGTGGTGGTGGGTGTTTCTATTGTGGTGGTAGTGATGAGTGGTTTCTATTGTGATGGCGTTTTTGTTGTGGTGATGGCATTTTTGTTGTGGTGGTGGTAGTGTTTCTGCTGTGGCGGTGGTGGTGGCGACTTACAAGTCTGATTCAAAAATTGTTCCTCATACTTGTCTAGTTGATTTTCGGTAGTAAACATTGGATTATCAATGGGTACAATGGTAAATATCTACAAAAGTCAAGGTAGAATTCATTCAATTCAATTGTTCCTCGCTAAACAATGATTTGGGTTGGATGACATACATAACTGGGTTTGGGTGGGATGGGTTAGGATACAAAAAATTCAATCTAGTCTTATACTTGCCAATTATCCAAACACGCCCTTGGGGATTTTGGATGGAGTGGAAGGCTTGGAGGCATGCTGTGAACTGTGAAGGTGTAAGTGCAGAATTGGGTCTCTTTCATACTTATTAGTTGTTTAAATTCTAATAACTTTTTCATAATCTATATTTATATATATACAACTAATAAAAGTATCTTAAGTGAAAATTTTTGATTCACTATTTTACTCTTATAAAAAATTTTAAACAGTTAAATATATAAATTACAATTGCAATCTTATGTATTTAAATCTTTAAATTGTCCTCTAATATCTCTTTTAATTCTTTATTATCTTTGTATAAATATCAATATCTATGAAAAAAATTAATTGACTACGCAACCCTTAAAAAATATATGCATCATCATAGTTTTAAATAACGTGTTCAAAAAGTCTATCAATAGATCATTATTCTTTTCAAATAAAAAAATAACATTATTTCTATATATATGTATTTTTTCTCATCTATACTACTAATAATCTAGCCCACTAATAAAGATATCTTATAATAAAAAAATTTTGATTCACTATTTTGCTCTTATAAAGAATTTTAAATATCACAATATCCTTCCGTAATTCAATAGCTAAATTACTATCAAATATTTATGTGTTCAAATCTCTAAATTACCCATAATATCTCTTTTAATTTTCTGTTCACTATATAAAAATATAGTATATATGAAATTTTTTAATTGACTACGTTATCCTTTAAAAAAAAATGCATCACTATAGTTTTCAATAAAACGTTTAAAAAATCTTCAAAAATTTCATCAATATAACATTACTCATTTGAAATAAAAAGATAACAATATGCTTATATATGTGTATTTTTTTATCCAAAATTTCAATAATTTCATTTTTAAAATAAAAAATTATATTTATGCAATTTTTTTTAAAAAAATTATGTTAAATCGACATAATTCTTCAATCATAGTAAACTTTTCATGTTTTATTAAGAGTTTATATAAAAAAAAATTATAGTGTATTTTTAAGTAAAATCTGAATTTTAGAATTTTAATATTCTTCTAAAATATATATTATAGAGTAGTATACTATATTTTAGGGTTAATTATATTTTTAGTTCATGAAATATGCATGTTTTATCATTTTGATTCTCATTGTATTAATTTTGTCAATTTTGTCTCTAAAATATTTAGTTAGTGTTTAATTGATCTATACACAAGCAATCCAAGTTTTTGATATAAGTGATCAGATGCTGGTCATGTGATATTATCTAACGGAATGACACATGGTCACTTTCGTCAAAAAACTTAATGTACCATATGATTAGAAATTATTTAAACAAATATTGAATATTTTATGGACCAAATTAACAAAATTCATATATTGAGGATGAAATTGACAAAAAATGCCTACTTTAGAGACCAAAAGTGTTGTTAATCTTATATTTGATCCCTATTGACCTAACTAATTCCTAATTATAGTAAGTATTGATTAAAATATTGACAATTATTGTGATTTTATTCAATGAATTATAAGTTACATGAATTTCAAATGAATTATTTTTATTTTTTTTCTTGTTAGAACAACGAATTGCTGAAAACATACAATATTTTTCGAATATTATAGTATATTATGAGCAACAAAAATATAATTTTTGATAAACTTGAAATAATATTTAATCTAGGTACACATATACCTAATAGTTTTTATTAATATTTTGTATACGAAAATTATTTACGTGCAACGCATGTATTGCATTGCTAGTATTTTAAGATGTTGGGTAATGTTTTGAATTTATACAATTGTTTGAGAATATTTTAAATTTTCAAAGATATTTCATAATGTTTTGATAAATTTACACAATTGTTTTAGAATATTTCATGGTTTCATAATGTTTCAAGATATTTCTTAATGTTTTGATGAATTTATACAATTATTTTAGGATGTTTCAAGGTGATTCAAAATACTTTGGTATATTTCGATCAATATATTAAAAAAATAATTTTTAAATTTTTTATTCGTTTTTTATATGTTTTTGAAACGTTCTGTTTCCTAAGTGATCAATATAATACACAAAAATAAATTTTTGATCCTTGAACACACACAAAGGGATACATGAATATTTTGAACATATTTTACCTAACATCAGTCTAGCTTCATAAAAAACCTAGTTGAGTAATAATTATAATTTTTATTTTAAAAAAATAATTTAACAAAATTCACCCACAACAATGTCACAATTTTGAGGAAGTCTAAATTTTAATCTGTCTTTCTTTCTATTTTTGCAAAAGAATATCCAAAGTCTACCCCGATAAATCCTCGCTAATGAGATTATAAGGCCCTGACGAAGTAAATTTTGATATTTGACTACTACTTTGGTTGTTGGGCATTTCTTTCTTTGAAAGGTTAAGTGAGTACAATGTGAAAAATGTAACATCATCATGTCACACGATTTTAATACCCACCTTTAGAAATTTTATTATTTTGTATATGGTACTAAATCGTCTACAATTGGCTATGGAAAAAAAAAACTTGCTTTTCAGATTTATTCTCTTTCTCTTTCTCTTTCATGGCAACCCAAATGAAATTATGGACAGGATGATTGGGTTTTTATGGTGGGAGAAGAGAGTTGTGATTCATTTGGTAATAAACAACAGTTTGATTTCTCGGATTAATTTTTAAAACTACATTTGGACATAAAAAAATTTCAAGAGTTAGGAAGTGAATATTAGTAATTCAATAATATTTAATTGAATGTCAAGGGGTCTCTGTTTTAGTTGATCAAATGTCAAGGGGTGTAAATAAAATTTATCTTTTTTTTTTCTTTTAAGACTTAATTGCACTGGAGGTTCCTAAAATATGGAATTTATCTCATTTTGGTCCCTAATATTTCAATTGCATTGTTTTAGTCCCTGAAGTATTAAATATATTTCTATGTGGTCCCTCAAACAGACAGCGACCAAATTACTAACGATTGTTAATTATAAACTTATCGCATAATACCTAAATATGGACAAATAAATAAATTAAATAATTCTTGACCAAAATTTTACTCAAATTTTAATCAAAGAACTACCCAAATTACATAGTTTTGATTATGAGTTATCCAAATTTTGATCAAAAGCTACACATATTACACATTTTTTGTCAAGAGATATTCAAAGTTTGATCAAGAATTACTTAAATTAATTTTTTGTTCATATTTAGGTATCACGTGATAAGTTTATGATAAAAAATCATTAACCAATTTGGATGTTGTCTGCTTGTACCACATAGAGACATATTCAATACTTTAGAGATCAAAAATAATATAATTAAAATATTAGATCAGCAAATTAAAATTAATCCAAATGTCATAGTGAATTAGGTCAACAAATTAGGTTAATAAATTAAATCCCAATAGCATTGCTCTAATTAAAATATTAGAGATCAAAATTAGAAAAATTATATAATTTTAGAACCTCCGACATAATTAACCATTCTTTTCGAGCATACCTACTTTGTGTCATGTGGGCTTTCTCCACTGACTGGGTCTGACTTACGTTTTCCAATATTTTTGGGGCTATTTTTATCCTCACAAATCTCTGCTCTTACCTTTATTAAATTATAAATCATAAAATTATTAAGTTTATATCATCTATACTCACTCCACTATTAACTAAATCTACCACATTATATACCTACTTCATTAATAACTAATTTATATCAATCTTTATTTTTAAGATTTCTTTCCATACCCCATCTCACATAATATATACAAATATACTCAACTGGATTATCTAATAAAAGTGAAAAAACAATTATGTATAAATTGTGTGATTTGAGGAAAGAGACTCGGTGATCTTTTTTTTTTCTTTTCAAGAAACTTAGCTTCAGATGCGACCTACAACAAAAATTCTAAGAAATTTCTTTATGTGCATTAAGAAATTATGTGTAAAAATATTTTTCTCTGAGAATTCCTTCGATCGACGATTACGAAAACAAGAAGGAGAAGCGTATAGAAGAATTGAAACACTATTTTGATGATGAGATTAGAGAAGATAAAGATCGAACGACGTCAATTGAAGCAACTTTCATGGAAAAAAAAAATCAAAGTGCAATCCAGTTGAATATATTGTGTGTACAAACTATGTGAGATTGGTATAGAAAGAAATCCTAACGCTGAAGATTGAGATAAGTTTTGTTATTAATGGGGTGGGTATAAAGTGGGATGGGTATAAAGTATGTGAATTTAGTAATTTTATTATTTATAATTTAATAGGGTGATAACGGATATTTTAGGAGTGGGAATAGCCCAACCAAGTTTTTTAAAGTACCTTTATATTCACTTTTATTTAGGTTTTTAAGTACCATTTGTCTTTTTGTTTTTGTTTTTTCCTTCAACCGAATTTTCTTATTTTCTCTCAAGTCTAATATATGTATATAGCAATGCATATACACAAGTGTATGATATATACTAAGATATATATAAATTAACTAGTTATTGTTTGTGTCTAAAGGCACTGAGTAATAAAAAATGATAAATAATAAATATATTTGTATTTATATCCAAAATCAAATCACAAATATAGAAAAAAGATAAATAATTTTAAGCATTAGTTTATAGTGGGGGTGAAAGGTGGTGGCGGTGGTGGCAATGGTAGTGGTGGTGGTGGTGATAAGGGGCTACGGTGGAGGTGGCAGCAGTGGCAATGGTGGTGGTGGTGGGGAGGGAGTGGCGGTGATGGTGGCGACGGCGATAGTGGTGGAAGTGGCGGCGACGGTGGCGATGGCAATGATGGCAGTGACGGTAGTGGTGATGGTGGTGGTAATGGTGGTGACGGGGCTGGTGGTGATAGAAGTAGTGATGGGGCGGTTTCAAAAACTATTTTTTTTTTAAAGGATTTATGAGAAATAATTTTTAAAAGTTCTTTTAAAAAATCACTTCAAACACACCCTTAGAAACCTATTTTTCCTATTAAATTTAGGGCGTTAATATTAGCTATTAGATTAACTTTAAAATAAAATTTAAAACAATCTCAACCGCGAATAGCAAAAGTCATTTTGTTTATCTTTTGAAATTTAAATTGTAAGTTACTTTATTAAATAGACTAGTTATTGCATGTACTTAAAGACACAGAGTAATAAAAAATGATAAAACAATAAACATATTTATATTCATATCTAAAATCAAATCACAAACATAGAGAATAAATAAAAAAATTTAAGCATCGATTTGTAGTGGGGGTGAGAGGTGGTGGGCGACAGTGGTGGCGACGATGGCGGTGGTGGTGGTGGTGGAGGCAGCAGAGGTGATGGTGGCAGCAACGACGATGATGGCAATTATGGCGGTGGCGACAGCGACGAAGGCGGTGGCGGTGGCGACAGCGACGAAGGCGGTGGCGGTGGCGACAGCGATGAAAGTGGTGGTGGAGATGACAGTGGTAGTGGTGGCGGCGGAGGTGGTGGTAGAGGTAGTGGTGGCGGTTTCAAACACAATTTTTTTTTTTAAGTATTTATGATAAATAATTTCTAGAAGTACTTTTAAAAAATCACTTCAAACACATACTTTGGAGACCTATTTTTCCTATTAAACTTTGGGTGTTAATATTAGTTGTAAGATTAACTTTAAAGAAAAATTTAAAGTGATCTCAACTGCGAATATTAAAAGTCATTTTTGTTTATTTTTTAAAATTTAAATTGTAAGCTACTTTATTATATCAATATTACAAAATAGTAATCAAATATTTTTTTTTATTTTTTTGGACATATTGGAAAAATAATTTTTTGAAAAACTTTATCAAATAATATCCTGTGCTCTTGTGATCACTCCAGATGTCACCCCAAGTAATAGCTGAATAAAAATGTTTGAACCATGAATAGTGGTACTTTAGGTTGATGAGCCAAACCTCGTTAAAAGGCGATGTATTCGCTTTTATTCCTATTTGTCTGCTATTTCATTGCTTCTTGTAAAAGTGTTTTTTTCTGTCGTCTTTGGAGATTTTCTTCTTTGTCCATATTGTGTAGATTGATTAGAGTTTGTGATGCATTTATGCCCATAATGAAAAAAATATATTAGAATACGTATATATCATGATATATCCCAAAAAAATATGTGAAATCTTGTTCTTTTAGGAAGTGCTCTTTTGTTCAACAAGAAATCTTGTTCCTTATGCATCGGATCAAGGAAAGGACCATTTGCATGGTCGCTGAGAAGGGGGAAGGCCAAAGAGGACTTAAAAGGAGCTATCAAGACTAATCGCATGCTGGCCTTTCCAAATTATGCTAAGCCATTCTAGGTACATACCAATGTTTTGAACTATGTCATCGGTGGAGTTATTATGCAAAAAGGGCACCCAATCGCCTATGAGAGCCGTAAGCTCAAAGACATCAAGCAGAAATACACAGTACAAGAAAAGGAGATGACCGTTATAGTGCATTGTCTACGCACTAAAAGACACAATCTTATAGGGTCAAAATTTGTTGTCTAATTTGTACTTTAACAAACAAGTTGCCCGCGACCTTCGGTCTACCAGCACCTCTTAAAGGATTGTGCCACTACCTTCGGGTGTTGAAAAATTCATTGATTCTTGATCCTAAGCTAATATTGGTATAGTTTTCAATCTCAACCATGGTGCAGATAAGCTTAGAAAAGCTGGACAAAGCCGATAATTAGCCAAACATCCATTGTTCGTAGTGTTGCAATGAATCCAGTGAATCTTGCTCATGAGGACGTGAGAGCCACACAAAAGAAGGTAGACTTTCGGTGTCACCTTGGGGAAGCCCACCAAGGCTTAGTACCAGTAACCAATTAGTTTCTTATTTTTTTGGCAACTCGGAGGAAACTCCAACAGTTTATTGTTGAACTTAACAACCTGTATAGCCACTAGAGGAAACTTTCGGGACTCGTGCAGTACCCTAAATAAAAATTGCAAGTCTTACGGCCTGGACCCAAAACGGGAACCTCTAACTTCCTCCAAAAAAAACCTTATCATTTAAACTGACCCTTCAAATTAATGACCAATTAGTTAAGATTTACTTAATTCACATTTTTATTTTTTGCTCGAATAAGAAATCTTAAACTAAAATTGAGTTGCATAAATTTTAAGTACATATACATGCCAATACACATTCAACAACTAAACCCAAAACAAGCACGACACAACTAATCCAAGAACAAAGGTGAGAATCAGAATCGACAATTTAAAAGACTAGAAAAAAATCAAAGGGTCCAGTTTAGACTCATACTAGATAACCACGAACAAATTGTATAATCCAATTATGTCAAAATTATGATTCAATGAGACTCAAAAATTGGAGATCAGCCCTAACAAATAGAATCGATTTTGCATTTTGTAGATTGATCTTAAATCGATCTTATCAAATGATAACATCATCTATTTTGATCGTAATTTGATCTAATTAAATAATAATATAGAAAATCCCTTAGAATACATTCTTAGCAACTGTTACTGCACCCACATAATGTAATTGGATTATTAGAAAATCCAACCCCCTTTTTTTTGTAGTATTTCTCTTTTGGTATTCCGGCTAAATGTATTCAGATCAACTTACGCACATTTTAACTATTATCTTCTTCATTCTCTCGTCAAAGACAATTCATTTACGACATAACTAAGAAATTCATAAAGATAAATTCTTCATAAACTATCGAAAAACCTTAGAATAATCATACGGATCAAGTTAGAGATGTTTAATGAAAGAGAAACTCGTGATAAGGTTTCAATTGTTGCGTTTAAAGTTAAGCACCAAAATTTTTTGACTTTTTTTTATAAAAGTAATGTTACATAAATTTAAAATATACACTTAATCAATTAATGTCATTGATTTTATTATGAGTTCTAATATTTATTGAGATTATTACATGTTTAATAGTTATGATTAAAGAAATTTACATTTTCAGTCTATATTTTAAATTCAATAGCATTTCTCTTTTTATAAACCCTAGTAATCAATTTTAAAGATAATTTTTCGAATTCCAAATTCCAAATCCCAATTTCGGTAGGTTGGGTTTGATTTCTTGCAATACTTTTGTCTTTTCGTTAACCTTAGTAAAACCAAAAGAAATTGGACTGGCACTTTGCATGGACGCCACGAAAACAAATAGAAATGACATCAGAGAGAAAGAGAATACTTGGCCAGAAACCAAAGGTGCTAATTGAGACTTTATTGGTATCATCAATAGCGGAATTAGAACAAGATAAACCCCACCAGTGGAAAGAGATGTGTGGAAGATACAACAATGTTGAAGCAACAATAGAAACAAGTACAATCATGATAAAGATCCAGCTACTGCCAGTACCAGTACTGAACCCACTTCAATTCCTCAGAAAAACCCACCAACAAGTGATCATAAAATGGAGTTGGAAAACAAGGAAAGAAGAGAGAGAACAAGCACAAACCCCAACACCAACAACAACAATACAGCCACCTTCTCTTCATCGGATGCTAGCAACATGAACACAAACAAAACTGTGGCTCAGTACAGTGCTGATGCTAGGCTTATGGCTGAGTTTGAGCAGTCTTGTGAGTCTGGTAAGTCCTTTAACTACTCGAGATCAGTTATTCATGCACCACAAACTGTACCTGAAGAACAAATTACTGCGTATCTAACAAGAATCCAGAGGGGTGGTCTTATACAACCCTTTGGTTGTATGGTTGCAATTGAAGAACCCAGTTTCAAAATCATAGGTTATAGTGAGAATTGCTTTGAATTGTTGGGTTTGAATAATCTTGGTGAGTCACAACGGTTAATGGGTCTGACTGGAATTGATGCTAGAACCCTTTTCACCCCTTCTTCAAGGGCTTCTTTGGCGAAAGCCGTCGCATCTAGGGAAATTTCGCTGTTAAACCCAATTTGGGTTCATTCCAGGAGTACCCACAAACCATTTTATGCTATACTACATAGAATTGACGTGGGAATTGTGATTGATTTGGAGCCTGCGCCTTCGGGTGATCCTGCATTGTCGCTTGCTGGAGCAGTGCAGTCACAGAAACTTGCGGTTCGAGCAATTTCTAGACTGCAATCACTTCCTGGGGGAGATATAGGTGCTTTGTGTGACACTGTTGTGGAAGATGTTCAGAAGCTTACTGGCTATGACAGGGTTATGGTGTATAAGTTCCATGATGATGATCATGGTGAAGTTGTGTCAGAAATTAGGAGGTCTGATTTGGAACCTTATTTGGGATTGCACTATCCTGCAACAGATATCCCACAAGCTGCTCGGTTTTTATTCAAGCAGAACCGTGTGCGGATGATCTATAATTGTAATGCAAATCCGGTTAGGGTCATTCAAAGTGAACAGTTAAAGCAGCCTCTTGGCTTGGTCAATTCAACCCTTCGGTCACCCCATGGCTGCCATACACAGTACATGGCCAACATGGGTTCTATTGCCTCATTGGTGATGGCTGTTGTTGTCAATGGAAATGACTCAATGAAGCTATGGGGATTGGTAGTATGTCACCACACTTCACCACGCTATGTGCCTTTCCCGCTTCGCTATGCTTGCGAGTTCCTGATGCAGGCATTTGGCCTGCAGCTCTTCATGGAGCTTCAGTTGGCATCACAGTTGGCAGAGAAGAAAATTCTCCGGATGCAAACCTTATTATGTGACATGCTCCTACGGGATGCTCCACTTGGCATTGTGACTCAGTCCCCTAGCATCATGGATCTTGTGAAGTGTGATGGGGCTGCATTATATTATGGTGGGAAATGTTGGTTGCTGGGAGTAACTCCAACTGAATCCCAAGTGAAAGACATTGGAGAGTGGCTGCTAAATACTCATGGGGACTCCACCGGGTTTAGTACAGATAGTCTGGCCAATGCTGGTTATCCTGGTGCAGCCCTGCTGGGTGATGCCGTCTGTGGCATGGCTACTGTAAGAATTACGTCTAGGGATTTCTTATTTTGGTTCAGGTCCCACACTGCAAAGGAAGTCAAATGGGGAGGAGCAAAACATCACCCAGAGTATAAAGATGATGGTGCAAGAATGGACCCGAGATCTTCATTCCAAGCTTTTCTTGAAGTGGCTAAAAGCAGAAGTTTGCCTTGGGAGGTTTCGGAGATTAATGCTTTTCATTCTCTGCAGCTTATACTGAGAGATTCATTTGAAGAGATTGAAGACAGTGGTTCAAAAACGATGGTACATGCTCAACAGAATACGTCTGTGCGGCGGGGATTGGATGAACTTAGTTCAGTGGCTCGTGAAATGGTCAGATTGATTGAGACAGCTACTGCTCCGATTTTCGGGGTTGATGTATCAGGATTAATCAATGGGTGGAATGCAAAGATGGCGGAATTGACAGGATTACAAGCTAGTGAAGCAAAAGGGAAGTCCCTGGTTAATGAAGTTGTTCATGAGGACTCACGCGGAGTTGTTGAAAGTCTACTCTGTAGAGCTTTGCAAGGTAACTAGTTTCGTTCCATGGCAGCTCAGTTGATAGCCTAGTTACTCATCTATATTGCAGATGGCCTCTAAGGAAACTTTTTCTCACTCTTTTTTCCTCTGAGCTATGCTCATTTTAATAGGTTTATTTTTCACTTGCAGTTGTTAGAAAGGTTTTGCTCACTATTTACAGGTTGTGGTTGCTATAACTCCGGGACTTTGATTAATCTTGGACAAAGACGCACCAAACAAATATGTTTGTTGTATCATAATCAAGTATGCATATACATTATTCTATAAGCATCAAATCTAACACATGCCCAATGTCACATAGGCACGGAGATTACAAGCACGTGTTTGTGTGCAGTAGGTAGGTGACTAGAAGGGGATACCCCAACACCGTGTTTTGGCTAGGTGTTCGTAGTTATAAATTTAACTTGATCCATATCCAAAAGTGTGGAAAAAGTGTCCTTGCTGACACTCGTGCAACACCAATACGGCTCCATCTTAGAATAGTCCGTTCTTTTGGGTATTCATTTTCTCCATTCAGACTTGAATATTCTAGGCAAAAGAAACTTTAAATGTGGCAGAGGCAGAGCTTGATGAATTGTGTGACGTGACTATTATTTTGGCCCAAGCCTTCTCCTGCATAAATTTTTCTTGTGAACATCGTGATTTCCCACACTGTGATTAGTTGATATGTACAACAGAAAATTCATTTCCTTCCAGTCACCATTCACTCTCTGATAACCACTTTTTGCAACTTTATGTAAGAAGCAATTAGTTTGATGGCATGTGAGCCTCACCATACTGCATGTTTTGTCTCTCATTATTTCCTCAAAGGTGGTAGTTCTAAATTGACTTTTATCCAGGTGAGGAGGACAAAAATGTTGAATTAAAACTGCAGAAGGTTGGGCTACATCAGCAGAATTCGGTCATTTACATTGTGACTAATACCTGCACAAGTAGGGATTACACAAACAGTGTCGTCGGGGTATGCTTTGTGGGTCAAGATGTCACGTCTGAGAAATTTTTCCTGGATAAATTCATCCGTCTGCAAGGGGATTATAAGGCTATCACGCAAACTCTTAATCCATTGATCCCGCCCATATTTGCGTCTGATGAAAATGCCTGCTGTTTTGAATGGAATGCAGCCATGGAAAAGCTAACTGGTTGGTCGAGACATGAGATAATTGGGAAATTGCTTCCCGGGGAAATTTTTGGAAGCTTCTGTCAGTTAAAAGGCGAAGATACACTCACTAAACTGATGATTCTTTTATACCGAGCAACTGGTGGACATGTTACCGAGAAGCTCCCTTTTGGGTTTTTTGATAAGCAAGGGAAATTTGTGGAGGTGCTTTTAACAGCAAATAAAAGAACTGATGAGCGAGGTAATATAATTGGGTGTTTTTGCTTCTTGAATGCTGTTGTACCTGACCTGCAAGAGTCCTTAGTACACAGGCAAGAGGACACAGAGTGCGTTTCAAAACTTAAGGAGTTGGCATACATTCGGCAAGAGATGAAAAACCCATTGAATGGTATTCGTTTCACCCACAAACTCCTGGAAAGGACTTCAATTTCAGAGGATCAGAAGCATTATCTTGAGACTAGTGATGCATGTGAAAGACAGATATTGTCAGTCATCGAGGATATGGAGTTAAGACATATAGAAGAGGGGTAAGTTTTCCCTTTTCTGGGGCTTCTATAACTAGCATAAATCACTTTTTGTAAGTGTTCACTGTGTTATTGAAGATTGTTACATCATATTCTTTCCTTCATTTGCAGAAAATAAAAATATTCAGAATATTCAAATCAATTGAGTTAAATTTAAGCAAAAGCTTTTAGAATCAGAATTGTTTTTGAAACATCTTTTCTTATTGCATAAGTATATACTTGTTTAGGCTGTCCAAGGGTAATTGTGGTTACAAAACATATACAAACTGCAAACAGCATTTTAAGACTTCATATGTGTTTTTAATCCAACATCAGTAGATGTTCGAGTATGGATGCAAGAAAAAAGTAAAATGCATACAACTTTTATTCAGTTTATCTTGAAAAAGCAACAATTTAAGGTTATGTTTTGTTATTTTATCTTTTGGAAAATGAAAATTCCACAGAAGGATGAGGGGTGAGCTCAGGGGTGGAGCCCTCATTTTTTTTTTCCTTCATATTAGACATATATTTTTTGAAATAAAATTTAAATTTATTTAATTATGTCCACCCTATTATTATGTTCTAGTAATATTAATTTGAATAAACCTTCTACCTACATGATTGTTAATTTTTCGAACAATGTTATTGAGACCTACTTTAAGGACCTAATGCATTATGATATTAAGTCTAATAGTGAGTCTCAATATTTAGTAAACTCCACTATCTATCTAGTGGTTTGTCAATGGTCACAAACTATTGGGTCTTCGCCAATTAAATCTCAAATTATGTGAAACTAATATTATTGTTAACTTTTAAGCATGTTTCAGGTATATCCAAATATGTTTTGAACATATTGAGATTATTTTGTAATTTTTTAAAATTGTAGGTTTATTTCTTTATTGTATAAAAATGTGTGTTGTTATGTAGCAAGCTATAGGATCATAAATGAAAGATTGTTATCACAATTTTATATATAAGAGAAATATTGTTGATAAAATTGATTTGTAACTCTTTCAAATAATAAAAACATACCAAGTTCTATTGTAAGTGACAATAATTAGTCTTATTCTTGATTGATAAGAAGTTTTAATTATTTTTTTGTTCATGTTATGCATATCGGTTTTAATCTTCTATATTTAATGAATTTTTAAGTATTAAATATAATCTTAGTAAATATAAATTTATGAACTTCTACTGATAATTGGGAAAACAAAAATTAAAATGTGCTAATGTGCCCACCCTAAAAAAAATTTATGGCTCCTCCCCTGGTTGAGCTGAACCAGTTTTTTCTTTTGGTGTGACATTTCTGCTGGTAAGATTCATGGAATATACTTCTCCTTGGAATCTGGATATGTATGTTATCTTAGGAAACTTATTTTCCACGCAACGGAGTCAATTATTTGGAACAACACTTAAATAATATTTTCAGAAGTTGCCAATTTTGATTTTGTATGCTCTCTTAATGGTTCATATAAGCTCTTTGTTGTTACATCAAATCAGTTTATTTCACTTTCTTTGTTTGGAGTTATTATATTGGTTGTATTCCGATTTCTCTACCTGTTCCTGGCTTTTGTTATCACTAGTTTCAGTTCTATCTCCCCTGCCTAATTTTCAAATCATTGTCGTCATAATAATTCTGCTTGTTGGAAATAGATGTCTCTGTATTATTGCAACAATGTCTATATTTCGTAAGATTATGTGTATAAATGAGTACTCTTCATGCTGATAAAAAACAAAAGTTGTAGAAAAGAAAGAGAGACTTAGTATATTCTTATCCTGATTCTACCAGAAATGTGGAGCTAAACATAGAAGAGTTTATTTTGGGAAGTGTTATAGATGCTATTGTTAGCCAAGTCATGATTTTGCTGAAGGAAAAGAATATACAACTGGTTCACGAGATTCCTGAGCAAATTAAAACGCAAGTGCTCTATGGTGATCAAATGCGGCTTCAGCTGATCTTGTCAGACATCTTGCGTAATATAGTGCATCATGCACCTTCCAATTGCTGGGTGGAAATCAAGGTGTCACCAGGGTTGAACATGAGACACGATGGAAATGAATTTGTCCATTTACAGTTCAGGTACCATGGCCATGAGTATATTGGTTTTTTTTTTAAGGACTTTAACATGTGTATCGTGGAATGTAGTGATTATTTGCAACTATTTAGCTAACTTCAGTAGTATATTTTCCTTTATTGCAATTGTCAATTTCATAAGTGATGCATTCCAACTTCCAAGAATGAACCTACACTGGTCGAACAATACAACTGGTACATTCGAATGCTCTTCGCTCTTTGTGACTGGATGTATTCATTTTATGAGCTAAAGAGGGACATAGCCTCTTGTTCTCATCTTTTGGCCGCACCGGGACCTTATTGTTTCGTTTCTTCAAACCTTTATTGTGAGGATGCTGACATAGTGAACATTTCACCCCACAGGCTGGAAAGAAAGAAGAAGAGACTGGAAAGAAAGAAGAAGAGAGAAGGAAAGGAGGGGGGGAGGAGGGGGAGAGAGAGGAAAGGAAGAGCAATCTAAACAAATAGAACACTTATCTCTGAAACTGGGGCTATTCTCACTTAACACATTCCGGATTAGTCAAAGTATCTTCAGTTACCACAAAACATATTCACAGGTCCATTTTTGCTAAGGAAACATATTTCCTCCGAGTGCTTGTCATCTAATTTCTTTCTGCAAGTCCAATTTGATCCCTGGTCTTTTTTGTTCTTGTTGTTTGTTAATTGTGTTTTGTCGTTAGCATGCTGTAAACCAAATGATGTATAAATTGACCGACATTCAGCCTGAAATTTGAAAATTACCGTCAGGTTTCAGATTCATACTGCATTAAGTCCCATCCGCTCGGAATACTTCCAGATTTATCACATGGTAGAATTGTATAGTGTGATCAGTTCATCTTAATTTCTCTATTCATATTTGCATGACTTAGAAGTAACATATTGAATCTCAAGGTATGTGTTTAATGAAAGAAATAGTTCCAATCATGGATTCTGAGATATACCAACTGGAGGTCTCATTTTAGCGTTTTATTCTAGGATATATCATGATATAAGATGTAGAGTTAATTACCATTGCCCGATAGTGATGAAATTGTGGTTTAGAGCTTTGGGTGAATTTGGATCGAGCTGGGTGTTTTCCGAGAGAATGTACCTGTTTAGTGAAGCAAATTATGGGCGTGTTCAGGAAAGGTTGTCGATTATCTATATTGTGGCAATGTGTAGTCATGGCAATCTTGTGGGTGGTATTGTTGAAAGGAATTGTAGAGTAGAATTTTTGAAGGAAAAAGAAGAAATTGTGGAGTTTTTTTGGGATAGAGCAGAGTTTTTGGTTTCCTTTTGGATTCGACTACGAATGAGTTTTAAGGATTTGCCTTTTTACTTTCTTAGCATTTACTGGATAATAGCTGCATGTAACTAGGGGGCTTTTCCTTTATTTTTTATAGGAATGTAATGTTTGTTTCTGTGATGTAATTTTCCTCTTTTTGGATGAAAATTTACTATTTTGGCCCCGGAACTATTATCACTAGTTCCCATTCAGCCCTTAAACTAATTTTTCTCATAATTGAGCCCTCCTACTTTTATTAGTTTATTACCTTGTGTAGTATATGACTTTTGACTGATGGATCCTGCTGCTTGTAATATTTTTACCTTGTTCTTGCAGAATTACACACCCTGGCCAGGGCCTTCCTTCTGCTCTTATTGAAGATATGTTTGAAGGGAGAAATGAATGGACTACAGCAGAGGGGCTTGCACTGAATGTGTCCCGGAAACTTATCAATATGATGAATGGTCATGTCCATTATGCAAGAGAGCATGACAAATGTTACTTCCTTGTTGACCTTGAATTTAAAACAAGGAGATCAAGGCAGAGGGATTCAAATTTGGACAAAACCAAAATGGCCTGATTTCTTCTACGGAACTTCTTGTCACGTGTCTCTCCGGATCCTAGTAAATTGTGCTGCAGGGAACATGGCATTTTCCGGTAATCTGTAAATTTTTGTAACGGTTTCAGTTATTTTTCACTCAACAATGATGTCAAAAGTGTCCCCCTCCTGATGTTCAGGTTAGTTTTATTTAGTATGATGGTTTCACCCCATAGGGTTGAAGTTTGAATATGTTTGCTTCATGGAAGTGTATATTTTCGGTTCACAGATTGAGAAGCCTTAGTGTTTTATGTTTGTGCACTGGAAATTTGGAGCTGTAAAGAATTTTCTATACCTGTACTATATACCTTTGCGGCCTACTCATCGTAAAATTATAATTCACTAAAACTGTCGTTGGTTCGCCAAACTTAGGATACTGTAATGCTTCTGTTTGCAACTATAGTTTTACTGAGTTTCGTTTACAGTTAAATGGCAAAAACCAGCTTGTTGAAAACCATGTTGTGCACTTGGATGAGGCTTTCAAGACCCATGAGGAAGTTTCACACATGAAATTGAATCCAGCTAAACGTGCCTTTGGAATATCCTCTAGAAAATTCTGGGGATTCTTGGTGTCTCTTAGATTAGCTCTCCGGGTCACTAGAAAGAGGGTGAAAGGCTCACTAGGCAAAGAAATTGAGATTCTATGTTTCCTCATCAAACTATTTGAAGTTTTACATAGCAATTTCTGTTTTTGACTGGGGAAGGTAAGTCTATTACTGGTAGAGTAACTTTTATCTGTTGAACAATGGCCATTCCATCCTTCAATTCATAACTTGTAGGGCGCAGGTAACTTAAATGTTTGTATTAGGCCCCAAAAAAGAGTGTTCTAAATAATGTTATGATCTTTGAGAATTAATGTTATATATGACCCACAAAATTTAGTCTGTGAAGTTTCAATTAAATGTATGTTATCAAAAAAGTTCAAATTAAAATAAAAAAATTTCAAGGGTTTTTTGAAAGCCGGTTCACTGTTATGGTCTTTTAGGAGCAAACTTTTTGGAACTTTAAGAACAACTACGTGTGTAAAAATAGAAATACCTTATTCTCTTTCAATACAAAATTTAAAATTCAAAATTCAAACAAAATTAAATTTACAATTCAATAATCAAACAAATTAAATCTCCTTAATTTTAGATCTTTTATAATTAAACTATCCATATAAAATTCACATTTCAAAATTTAAAATAGATTAAAATCTCCTTTATTTTAGACTTCTTAAAATTTATATATATATATATATAGATATATAGAGAGAGAAAAAAAATGTCCTAATTTGAAGAGAAAAATGAGCTCACATAGTCATTACCGACAAATTCAACAAATATTGTCAACATGAGCTGCACAAAGAACATCACCACCATGAATCATTCGGATTCACAACAATTATAGATGGTTTTTTAAAGGCAATGATCAACACAATCTCTCAACAATATATGGTAGAAAAAAGAGATATAATAAAGAAAAAAGAAGGAAGTGAGAGAAGAGATAATAGTTGAATGAAAAATATAAGATAAAGAGAGACAAAAATATAAATAAGGTATGAGAGATAGGGAAGAGAGAGGAGAGAAAGGAATCTAAATAAATGATACATTGAAGAGAGAGAACATTAGAGTTAGAGTTAAAGTTAGAATTAAAGAGAGAAATTAAAAGTATAGATAAGAGAAAAATTAAAGAAACGGAAAGAAAGAAAAGATAAGTAGTGGAATGGAAGATCGATGAAATAGAAATTAAAGAAGAGAGAATAGAGAGAAATAGTTAGACGAATAAATTAAAGGAGGAGAGAGAAATTAAATGACCGAAAGTAAAAATAGAAAATAAAAAAAAGTAAAGAGATTATTGAATCTACTTACAAAAAAATACATAACATGTGCCTATAATAACCATTAAAAAACTCGAGTAATATTAAATAAACTTAAAATTAAATTTGACAATCTCAACTATTGAATAGGTAGTGGGTCCCAATAAATGTTGGGACCTACAGTAAAATCAATGATTATAATTATCAAATTTAATTTTTAAATCTACTTTTTTAAGTCCATATAACATTATTCTTAAAACTCTCTCTCTATCCCCCTACCCATTAAAAAATTGTAGATTAGCATTTCTCCCTACTAAAAGAAGTTTTTCAAATTAAAACTTATAAAATCTTATTTTCAATTAACTATATCACAAAAAAAAAAAAAGATTGAATGAATTACTAAAATGTAAAAAGTTAATCACAAAATTTGTGTCTCAAAAACCAAGAATAATTATTTTTAACTAAAATATTAATCATATAATATATTTATAATAAATTTTAAAAAGGACTCCATTTAAAGCTTGGGCCCCATTTTGATCGAGCTGGCCCTGACAACCTGCCTTTGTTTGTTTTTAACTGCATTACTGGAATAATCAATATATACACAGAAAGGGAAAACATCAATGAGCTGAGGAAAATGGACATGGATTGATGCATCTGTCTGACTTCAGAAGAAACCCAACGATATGATATAGAAGGTTTTGTTATTGGATTTGGTTTTAGCAAGCAGGGGTTGAGCCAAGCCTTTCGAACTTTGGTATGCTCAGACTCAACTCGAGACTTGGTTATCAATGGCTTAAGATAGGCCGAGGTTGTCGAGCTACATCGACTTGGTTTCTAGGTCATTCCATTATGCGAGTGCTGGAAATAAGTATCATTTTTTTTTCGGGAGAGAGGGAGTTAAACCCTTGATCTTAAAAAAACAATCTTTAGAAAATAAATAATACTATTAAACCAAAAACTCGTTGTTTTCAAAAAAAGTATTATTGTCTCACTAAACATTCAAAAAACAAATTACTCTTTTTAAAAGTCAAGCTAAACTTTTCGAGGTACAAATTACAATTTATAAAAGACATAATCGATACTAAAACATTAGGATCGATCATGAAAGTTACAATTTTTAAAAGTTAAATTACAACTTTTAAAAGTTATATTACAACTTGTAAAAAAAAAATTACAACTGCTTAAAGGAATCCCATGACCCATGATCGATCATGAAATTTTCTTACAAAATTGTAACTTTTCTTTTAAAACGTCTAATCTTACTATTAGATATAATAACTTTCGGTATAGTACAATTTTTTTTCCCGGTACCGTAGACTTTTCCAAATAATATATAGACTTGGAACATATGCAAAGACCCAACAATATCATTTCTCAAAAATACACATTTGTCATTGATGTCAAGAAGATTTACCAAGAAGCTAGTCTTGTCTTCCCACTATACAATTCTTAAACAGCCCCCCCCATGAAATCACCAATCCAAAAATTTCAACCTTCAAGACATTTTACTCATAACCATATACTTACAAGTTACAAACACCATTTCCGAATATAGAATTGTCCAACCTCAATTCACAAACAAATCAAAAGGACTTCAAATTATATAGCAAGAAGAGAAGGTTTCATGCACCTATTGATGATCTTCACCAGTATGCTTTCACCTTAGAGGCTAATAACCCTTCTCCACATCTGTCAAGACATTGATCCTCTCAAAATGCTCCTGCTGCTGCTTAAAAACTTTCTAGCAGAACGCAAAACCACGACACAAAATCTGCCTGGCACCAATGGTCCATCTCCTAATTTTATACACACATATATACGTACAGTTAGCACCCACAGCAACCACCAATTTGGCCTGTGGCTAATTTGCTGTCACGCCACTGTTAGCTCTTCTCTGGCTTCTCAGCCAAAGCATCTTTTGTAGGGCTTCCTGGAGAATCCCCCGGCTCTGACACATCTGATCGGCAAACTTGGACGTTCAAACTATTGGATGGAAGATGTTCCTGGATAATCTACAAAGAGAAGGCCATGCCATGTCAAATCCCCCACCCAATTACTATAAGTGGATACATTCAAGAAAGTTCAAAATAAATCAAGTGTTTTCATTAACCATTAATCTCGGTCACTTTCATTTTCTCCATGTAATATTTTATGTCACCTGATCACCAGCCTCTGAGGCTTCAGAGTGAAAGAGAATAGGGCGGCAGCGCTTATCTTCATTCATCAAACTCGAATTCTGGAAGTGGGTAACAAGGGCCGCCTTTCCTTGGATTCGAGCATAAGCCAAAGAAGCAACTTTCTCACTATTGAACTTCTCCCACTTCTTACCATTAAATGCCTGCACAAAATGGGGAAAATGTATTGATCATAACAATATGTATCAATAAATCGTAATTTGGGATAATTCTCTATTTAAAAAAAAAAAAAGAAAGAATAAGAGGAATCAGAGAAAGAAGAAACAAAAAATCGGAGATTCCAACAATTTAAAAACTGACAATGAGATATATCAGGAAGGAGAAAACTTAAAAGAATGAAGCACTCCACTCTTCGTTTCTAAACAAAGGGTGGAATTTAAAACCTCATAAAATGGGATAATGTGTGAAGGAGACAACATGTTGATAAACGCATAGCCCACATTGCATTTGTTCTGCATTTGATGCAAGAATCAATGTCAGTTTCTGTGAACTCGAGAAAATAGCATTAACTTCACAACAAACACTGTAACAAAATTATATACCCAAAAAAAAATTACTCAAAACAATATTACCTTAAAATCAATGGGCAGGTAGAGAAAATCATAAGTACCCCTGTGGTTTTCATCGATGGCTGCCAGCAACATCTTTGAGGTGTACCTAAACAAAGACCATTGTCAACATCCTAATGCAAATAATCAATTATACAGACTGTTTATTCACAAATGACAAGTATTCAAAGTTCACTTACTTATTTGGGATATTTTTTATCATTAAAGTGGTCCGAGTATCTTCCCCACTTTTAATCTTTTCCAAATCCAGCTGAAACTGTTTCTTGCTATCTATCTGGTTCCCATTGCTCTCAAAACGTCGGCTTCGCCCACGTTCAATTAAACCCTCCATGCTGGTTAATGCAAGTCCTGGCAATTGGCCACCTAGGAACATAGGACTAAGTCTTGGAGAAGACATCATGCTGAAAGCAGGAGAACTATTTTCTGACATGTTCCCTGAAACAGCAATGCCAGTATTTACAGCACCACGAGCACCCATATTCACCATAAAACTCCTGTCATTCTGACTTATACCCATGCTTCCAAAAGCAGCAGGACTCATGAATGATGTTTCCGGAGACTCCTGATAAAAACCAAAATACCTCTTGACAGGAACACCAGATGGAGCAGATCCAACATGATGGTGAGGGTGGTGAGATGAACTAAGGAAAGATCCATGGCGATCGGAGTACGGGAAACCATGGCTCTGCCCACCGGATGTAAATGGATGCAGATGCCCTACAGGTTGTGTTCGCCAAGCAGATGAGCTAGTTTGCTCTGGGTATAAATTAGAACTTCCCCAAAGAAACTGTGGTCCAGACAATGTTTCCATGCCAAATCCTTCTGAGCTGGAAGCACCAAAAGAAGACATGGTTCCAGAATAGTGTGTCAATTTAGGCTCTGGAAATGAGTGAGACTGTTGAAATGCAGCTCCAGGGTTTGAGATTCCATTGGTGAATATATGTTCCACATTACTATCCCTTCTGTCCTTGCCAATTGGTGCAACCTTCAACGAGTTTGATACTTGAGGATGCAAAATTGAAGCTAATCCAGGTAAATTATTGCTAATTGTTGGGCTCATAGACCTGAAACCAGGCGATTTACTATGTTCTATAGGGCTGCCAAACTGTGGCCAGTTACCTGCCAGGAATATGGACATTCACCAAAACTCATAAGACAGTGCAGATACCTACGAACCACAACTCAGACAAAAATATGCAAGACTCTACAAAACTCAAATTAAGAAAAGTGCTCCAAAAGTCATACCTGGAGGAGAGTTGGCTATTGAGGAACCTGTTTGGTGTCGAAAACTCCAAGATTCATCTAGTTCAAGCTCTTGATTCATTTGAAACATTATGCTAAAATGTACAAGACATAACCAAGTAACATAAAAACATATCAGTTGACTATTACAAAGCTAATAAAAATCAAAAATAGTTCAGAAATTGGACTTGCAGCATCAATACAGGAACGTGAAAAAGTTTGTTCGGGTCTGCAGATGCAGGTTGATTTTGTAGCACCCCGTCAAACAGACCAGAGAAAAAGCACAATCATAATCTCCCTAAAACATCACGCCACTATAATGTGTTGGGAAAAGATAAAATCTGAAGAGAGGTCCCCTGGCCCAGGACACACCCTTCAATAAAGACAAATATAAATTAGATTGTCGGCCTAATGACCTCTAAATGACATTCAATGAGATCACGATGATGCTAATGATAGCATCCCAGTTGCAACTTTTAAAGCCATTTTTTTCCAATACCATATTATACGAGTTATTTGTATGACATCTAGTCTTTTTTTCCCCTTTCAAGTATCTCCACACTTTTGTGTTTTCTAAATATTTTTCACAATGGTCTTCTTTGAAGATTCGCAAACCAATTGGTGACTCCTAATCTTGAGACTCTCACCAACCAAATTGCCCAGTGGAATTCACCTATATATTATATACTGCTAATCCAATCCAGCCTGTCTTTTCTTCTTTGGGTAAATTACACTCACCAACTTTAGCTTTTGTGGGGTGGAAAAAAAAAAACACCTTGACATTTGTTTATTCCCATTTTGTTGATTAAATTTTTTAAAATCTGACATGGTATATCAACTATTGACTGAGCACAAGCCCCTGCCTCGCCAAAGGCTCAATACAGCAAAAATAACTCTAAAACCTAATTTTAAATTTTTAACTTAGTCAGGTAAGAGTAAAATGGTTATTTCATAATTGACTTTTCCAGATAAAAGTATTCATATCATTTCCCAAATGTCAAAGGTTCAACATATTTTTCCATCAATAATCAGGGGTGTCAATTTAAATTACCCTTTTTCTATTCATTCCCCCTCCCTCCCCCGCGGGCGGTAAAACGAAACCCAATTTAGCTTTATTTAGCCCATAATGGGCCATTTAACTCCTCTTATTGGCCCAAAAATGATCTTAAAAGTCATTTTTTTTTCACCACTAAGTCAAGTTAAATTCTCACACTAGGGACATGTGTCTAGATACTTTTCTTCAGATTAGGGAGGGAGGAAGTATAATGCTTTCCTTCCCTTATTAAGAGAGAGAAAGTATACAGTATAGATCTTAGTTTGATAAATCAGCATCAAATTCTTCTATTTAAAGCTTGAGCCTTTGTAAGTGTTGAAGGATAACCTTGAGCATTCGCAAGAGTGTTAGATATATGAATATCTATCAAAAAACATAATGAAGCAAATATAAATGCTCGGTTCATAAATTAGGCACTAAGCACTAAGGGCATGTGTAAAAGCTCGCACACAATGCCTATGAGTTGACTCCAGAGGAAGGCCCATCCCTCTGCAGAATTATCAACAGATCCACCACACTGATTATGTTGTTCAAACTGAAATATTAGGGTACTAATTTGCAACCCAACCGTCATATTTTCCTGAAGAAATCTATTCACAACTCCAGCATTATTTGCCTTCATCAGGCCTTGATAGAGTATTACCTCACCAACTAAACCTTATGTTTCCTGCCAAGGACTTTCACATGTTGCGACTCATTTCAGCCCCCCAAAAGTGCAACCTGTCTCACAACATAACTTGAAAGCACATCACAAGTTAGACACGCGTCTCTAATATCAGAGTAAACACCGTAACAATGGTTACCTATATCTCATACACGCACTCAATAGAATGTTCTTAATTACATGTTACTCAACCAGGACCTAAATAAGCCAGGGATCAATATCAAAGACTCTTTTCTAGGTTAATAAAGTCAATTAAATAGCATCTCTCCTCTCTAGAACATTTCCTACAGTATTTCCGGCTATCAGCATCGATGCATCACCTAAGACAAAAACTACAACATAAATATTTTTGTAAGTAGAATTTAACCTAGTTTCCAAAAATTATAGCTCCTTGAATTTTCTTTGTTCCACAGTTCACTCCTATTCTTTTATAGTGCAACTTACTAGCAGAAATCTGGCAAATAATAAGCCATAGATAATCCTCTTTCGTTACTATTTGTTCATACTTGTTAATTCTTCAAAATACCATTACAAACAAAGATAATAAAGTTTCTTCATGAGCTTGAAATTCATCTATCCCATTCATCCACAGAAAAATGGGGGGCATTGTCTAAAACTTTTTTATTTTCATGTTACCTGGGACAAACAATCCTTTCAGTCTTTGATGTTACTAGGTAAAGCATAATTTGACTTATTCAAAAAAGGAAGAGGAACTTTGCCATCAAACAGAGTCAGAATCAATGCAGGAAAAAAATAGAAATATGCAAGCATGAAATGTTAGTGCAACCAAGTTACAATGGAAAATGATGCCAAGGAACCCAGTTATCACAAAAATGAAAAATGAAGCTAAGTAAATCTGTTATCAAGGGATGGCAGACGCTGATCAAATAAGGAAAGCAATAAACTTAATACATAAAATTTTAAAAAGTAGCAGAACACGTACTTTCGACGTGCTCCTCCAGGGCGGCTAGGTTCGAGCTTTATGCGCTTCCCGGCAATATCACTCCTATTTAAGGACCTAAGTGCTGCTTCTGCGGCTCTAACATCATAATATTCAATAAACTTATGGTGTCTCTTGTGTGGCGTTTCCCTGATCTGCTAATGATACCACATAGGCTCAGACACCGACCAATTCAACAAAACAATGTTTGAAGGGAGCAAACAAAGGGGCAGAAAAAATAAAGGGAAAACAGCCATCACACCTCTTTGACCTCACCATAAGCCCCAAATATTTGCCGGAGGTCATCATTTGAAACTGATGGATCCAAATTAAAAACTACCAAAGTTCCTTGATTGATATCCTTGTCTGATGGATTATCCTGTTTTTTTTAAGGGGAGAGTCAGAAAATGAACATAATAATTTCATCAACTTTTAGAAACATAAATGTTGTTCACCACCTTCGGAATTGAGAAGTGTATATCCAGCTTCCTCCGCCGTAGAGGCTTGTTTTGCAATGCCCGCATGGCAGTTCGCGCAGCGCGAATATCGTAGTAAGATATCATCACAAAGCCCCTATGTTTACAGGCAGTGTACAGGGTTCTGATATCACCATATTGCTAAATGCAGGAATATGACAATTCCAAAACAAATAAGAGTATCTGTTAGTAATAGGTTATTAGATGATATGATAAAAACGCTAGAGTTTTGAAATAAATGCTCATGCCCCATAAATTAGTCAAGCATCTCATATCTATCACACATATAGCTTACAAAAAAAAGGGGAGGGGGGGGGGTGTGGCAGCCTCAAAATTCTTAGATCCTGCTGAAGAATTTTTAATAACACTTAGAGTTAATCTCATTTTGCACCTTGAAAGATTGTTCGAATCTCAATTTGCACCCTCAAAGATCAAAAATCTCAATTTACACCTTCAAAGATAGAAATTTGTATCAATGTGCACCCCCAAAGATCAAAAATCTCAATTTGCACCCTCAAAAATAGAAATTTATATCAATTTGCACCCCAAAGATCAAAAATCTCAATTTGCACCCTCAAAGATAGAAATTTGTATCAATGCGTACCTAAAACTAAATTGATAAATTATACCTAGATCCCCTCATATTTGTCACTTAATCATTTAGACTTCTTCACATTTAGAATATTACTCCTACATCTTATGACATTTGTGCACGTATAACACGTAACTCATTTTCATTGATATCTATTAATATAACCGTTAAAAAATATAATTTTATCCTAATAAAAATTATAATTTCATATTACCCTTTATTTTATAGGTTCAATATACTATAAAGTTGAAAATCTAGTTTACCATTTGAATGTCTAATAAAATGTAGATATTTATATAATATTTTTCATATTACCTTTTATATAAATATCTACATTTTATTAGACATTCAAATGGTAAACTTTATTTTCAACTTTAGAGTATATCGAATCCACAAAATAAAAGGTAATATGAAATTATAATTTTTTATTAGGATAAAATCATATTTTTTAACGATTATATTAACAGATATCAACGAAAAGTGGTTATGTGTTTCACATGCACAAACGTCATGAGATGTAAGAGAAATATTCTAAATGTGAAGGAGTTCAAATGATTAAGTGACAAACATGAGAGGATCTAGGTATAATTTATCAATTTAATTTTAGGTGCACATTGATACAAATTTCTATCTTTGAGGGTGCAAATTGAGATTTTTTATCTTTGGGGGTGCAAATTGAGATTCGAACAATCTTTTAGGGTGCAAAATGAGATTAACCCTAACACTTATGTGAAACAAAGAAAACGGTTGGGTCCTGAGGCATCATATATGCCTAGGTGGCATAGTGAATGAAGTTCCTTATTAACTAAAAATAAACAAATGTCTTCGATAGTGACCGAGATTCATACACAAGAAGCCCCAGTTAAAAGTATATCAAGAGACAGAAACAAATCAAGGCATTACAAATACATCGCACAATAATAATAGGATAAAACCCAACCATATCCAGCACCCAGAACTAGAAACAAAAAACAAAGAGCCTGTCCATCAAATAATGCAGTAAATCTCATACTATTTTTGGTTGACGACAGCATAGAATAAAGTAGAAAGCTTGCACACATTTCTGAGATTCTGATCAACATGTATTATACCTGCTATAGCATGTAATATGACACAATCACATCCCCATAAAAAATAAAGGCACACTTTAGATACATTTTTGCTTGGAGGACTAAACCTTAAGACAACAAGAGTAAGCTACACTGGTTATGACAACTAAGACAGGAAAGGAACATGACATGCAAAGATATAGCCAAAATTGACAACACAACTACTCAGAGAGACAAATATCAATTAAATACGAGAAAAAGATAAGTCAACCAAGGGGAGGAGATAATGTGAACTTCATAATTGCAGAAATCTAATTATTCAAACCCGACTAATTAGATTACCTCAAATAGAGTCCTCAGCTCTGAATCTTCAACATTGCTATTGATGTTGCGGACAAATAAGGTTCTGGAAGGATGCTCTCCAAGTGGATGTTCTCCAGCAACAGTTCCCACACCATTTGGAAGATTGTAATGGGCCACCCCACTGGCAACCACACCATCAGATAGACTTACCTTTGACATACCTACACTCAGGCTCTCCAGCGGATCAGACTCCAATTCCAAACCTCCTATACTGCCAAAAAGATCATAATCTTCCAAGTCATCCAAGCGATTAGGCAACCCACTTATGTCAAAACCATCCACTATGCCAGCCAAGAGCTCATCCTCGTCATCAGGAAGCAGGCTTCCAATTGCATGATTTGCAATATCTTCAAGCAATTCATTGCCCTCTACATCTGCATGGAGTTTATTCAAGCCGGAAGAGACCTTATCAACACATTGACAGCCATCCCCAGTATCATTCATATTCACTGCATGTTGAACAGAAAAAACAATAAATAAGAGTAAGACAACTACTTCCACAATGAATAACTTCTCATGAAACCTAGCAGCTGATGCATACATTTTTCGTGGGGAAGAAGAGGTAACGAGCTTGAAAAAAGAGTAGCATCAGTTGAGGAATGAAAAGCATTAGATCCAGATAAGAGTCCCCATGCTCCACCCCTTACTTCCTTAGAGACACCTATTGATGGAATTTTTGAAAGACCTATTGCATATAATTCACTTTGATTGGTTAGACTTTCTGCACAAAATAATTTTTGCAGACAGATAGCACAACTGAACGCTTCACAAAAAACCTGAAGAGGAATGGTCTGAAGACTTCTGCATTGCATCAACTTTGCCTCCAAAGTTAGGAAACCTAAGGGAAGTGGAAAAATTAATTTCTCCCAAGCAACCAAAGAAACAAAATGAAATGATGCGTCCCTAAAGCTAATAAACAAAATTCTCAACAAAAAACCTTGAGTTTAACTAGTGATATGATCATCAATGCTTTTGGGGGAATAAAAAACATATTAGATCAATTACATGTCTCGTATATATGGTAAAATTATGATGTATTCGGATGTTGAGACATGTAACAACAGTTATAAAGAAAAACAAGCATGACAATCCCGATGACAACTATAACTGACTTCAAATAGCTAAAAATAAACCTAGCATGTGTGTTTGAATCACCTTTGCATAGTTTAACAAATTTTAATCCAAATATGAGACTTATGCTCTTTAATCCATGAAAACAATCCAAAAGAGGGTGCATCACACGTTCCAATCCCCATTTTTAAGATCACCCCCACTGTGGCCACAAAAATTATATTCTTTTTTTTTTTTTGCAGTATGGCAAAAATTAGCATCAAAATAGTTCCTAACATTTAGAAGGCTCAAAACATCTCCAACTCTTCATTTCCCCCAACAAAGTTAATCTGATTGCCAAATAAAAAAGATGTGATTCAGCATATATTTCAAGTCTTCCTCTAGATCACATTAGTTAGTATCTGAGTAAAATGGGCCAATTTACAGCAATCTCATCAATCAAAATTGCCATTTCAAATAGTTAAGATAAATTGATAGAAGAACATGAAAGCAATCATATCAGAACCGTTAAAATCAAACCACATGAATACTAAAAACAATCAGATTTCACAAGTAGAGAGAAAGAGAGGGAATTGCTCGTGAGTTGTGGTCAGTGAATCACTACTTCTAGTTGTTATAATTGCAATCAAATGCTTTAAAAAAATCCAGCATATATCCAATTTTTTACTGCCAACACAGAATCCCCTTTAAAATTAACTCCAATTTCATCAAAACAAGATGGGCATCAAAACCCAAGAACAATTTCACAACTAAAAAGAGAAAAATCAGCTCTATCAAAAATTCAACTAAGACCCCTAAAACTTCTTGATTTTTTCACTACATAAAATTTCACAAAATCCCACCTTTAAAACAATCTACAATACAATCAAGAAGTACACGCACACAAAAACAGTATTTCACATTAAAAAAAAGCCCATACAAGTAAAGTTCATACGCCCAAAAAAAACCAAGAAATACATGCAAACCTACCAACCCACACCGACACCTACAGGATACCTGAAAATAAAGTCAAAACTCAGGAATGCTTAGAAGAGGCCACTGTGGATGTATCTGAACATCAAACACAAAGATTACTCAATCACAGAAGTTAATCTATTGCAAATTGGACCATGATCAGAAGAGAGAGAAAGTAGAGAGAGAAATCGACCCAGAGGCGTGAAAATGGAGAATTGTCTCTCTCAATTACACACACCCATATAATACAAACAACACATAAAATAATGATTTCTAGAGAGAGAGTTAGAGAGGGAAAGGTAATTGGAGTAAAAAGGAGTGAAAAGAGAGCAGAGAATGATTGAAGAAAGGCAAGGAGGGGGGGAGTTAAAAGGAAAATTCAACTGTATTTAAATCTATTTTGGTGTCCATGACCCCGCATCCCTTCGTGAGAAATTACTATTTTGACCTTTCGGAATTTGATGATGACATCATGATGTCTCAAATCCAACTAAGAAATTATTAGGATAAGGTTTAATTTTCATGTTGTAATGATTGATAAGGTTTATTTATTTTTATATAATAAACCAATTTAGAATGCGATTTTTTTACGTTTTTTAAGTAGTGTTTGAGTGTGTAATGTGTTTGTATTACAATAAGTTTTATTTTGGAAATTTAATATTTAATGAAATTAGTATGAGTAATGTTATGTACATCAAAATTTGTACCAAATCAATTATAATCGTCGGATAAGCGATAAGATCACAGATTGAACAGCTACAATTGATTTGATACTAATTTTAGTGCATAAAAAATTACTCAATTAGTATTCTATTTTTTACTCAAAACTTTGGTAAGATTTTAGTTGAACCAAAACACCTTAAAGGAAGTAAAGGCAAACCATCTTTAATAGACGTATTCCACGTTCTCTTTTCCTTTTGTTGTGCTTTTATCTGTCACTAAAGATAGAGTTGCGTTGTGCATTCTTTTCTTTTTTTATAATCAAAACGCGGGTCAAACTTAAGTTACGTGTCATGTAATCTAAGAAATATTTTTCAATTCAGGATTAAACATCCAAGAAAAAGCTTATTTGTGGGTATTTGATAGATTAGAATATGGAATAGGGTGATTGTATAATGGCAGTGGCTGAGTTATGAATTTACAATCATTTTAAACGCTTTCCTAACCCCCCATCATGGGTGATTACATGGGATATGTGATTGAATTTGATTGCATAAGATCTTGTTTTGCAAAAAAAATTTAATAAATACAATTTCAAAAATTAAGAAAATATGAAGAGACTCAAGGGAGAGCTTGGTAAGCCTTCTTCTACCCCAAATTTGATTCTTTTAATATACAGATTCTCGGTTATCTCGTGCACATAATTTATATACTCGTCTCCTTTTATTATCTGCACTCATCTCCTTTAAATACACACAAAAAACCCGTGTATATATGAAAAAAAAAAAATTATTATGAAAGTTCAAAAATAGGATAGATACTGAAAATTATAAAATACGAGATAAATCAAATGGGTAACTGCATGCAATATGTAAAAGATTTCGTTTAGTTAACATTTTTTTTTAATAAAATAAAAAATTTGAAGGGAAAAAAAGCAATGAGTGAATATCTCACAAGACATCCCTAACTAATTTGTTTGCTATAATAATGTAGCAACCCAAGTTGGTTTGTTTAGATTACCCAATTGCCCCTTGTCTTGTTGGTGGGTGGCTATGCTTATCCATGTTTTTTCTATTATTTTCTTCTTTTATTTTTTATCTACTGAGAATTTTGTATGTCTGATAAGACTTCTCAGTTATAAAATAACAAAAATAAATAATAAAATCGTTTCTATACCCGAGCATTTAATTTATGATCGGTCCTCAAAATTGTACTTATTTTGTTAATGTATAAAACATACTAGGGTGTACTCGTGAAAAACACTTTTTTTTTTATTGTGGTTAAAAAGTTAAATATAAATAGGCTGAGTTATTATAATTAAAAAATTTAAATTTAAATTTAAATCGTAATATAAATCATTTGATTTAAACAATTTAAATCGTTATTATATTATGTGTAACAGCCCGTATAAAAGAATGAATTGTATGGGAATATTTTAACAACTATCATGATGGCAAAAATCTACACGAAACAATAAAATGACTTAAATAACTAAATGATGATTTTTTTTTTTTACAGTTCACTTTTTTAATTATTCATCCCTTTTGTTGTACCCATAGGTTTATTTTTCAGATGGGAAAGTGGTGATTTGGGTGAGATGTTAGGGTGGGGGGGGGGGGGGGGGGGGGTTTTGGTATGTATTTGGGG